CAAACAATCTCAATGAAGCAGAAGTTGAACCAAATTGATTGGTGTCAATGATGCTGCGACACAGATATTGTGCACAAAAAATTGTTTGTGGAAGCTGTTGAAGAGAACATCTTATATCAGGATAACATGAGTTCAATTCTGTTGGAAAATAATGGACATGATAGTGCTGGAAAGCAAAGCCGAGCTTTAAACATTTGATATTTCTTTATGACTGATCAAGTCAAGAAAGGAAATGTGACTATTGAATACTGTCCAACTGAAAAGATGTGGGGAGATTTTGTGAGCAAACCTCTACAGGGACAAAAGTTCTTGGAATTCAGATCATTGATCCAAGGAGAACAAGATTAGAAGCAACGCAATTTCCTTTGATATTCCGTTGTCATCGACTATGTTAATGAAACGGCAGGAGTGTTTTGGATCTATTAGGATTTTTGAAGTACATATTTGGAGAAACAAGAAAAAGAGAATACATGTGAATGATAGAGAAATGATGTCCACTGATACGACTAAAAATGATGACTGATGCGACTAAAAACATCGCGCGTGGCGAGTCAGAAAAGAAATTATATTTCTATGGAAATCATCCTGTTGATGATGTAAGAAAGCAAGATTCAAGCAAGAACCAAAGTTGGATACTAATCAAAGTACGGATCACAGTGGAAGGTGAACGGATAAACATATTGAACTTGCAGCATGGCAGGCTGAGGTAGAGAGAATTCTGAGAATTTCCACTGAGCTGGAGAAGAAAGAAACAAAGTCAAAAGTTGACAGATTGTTCTCACTTCTTATAATATATTGCAAGCAACGAGTGAATTGGTTGATAAAGTAGGATCTCTGATAGGTCTATATACTTCTATATACTGTAAATTCATATACTTAGAAGGCAACAATACCTGGACAGCTAAATCGCAGTCAACTGAACAGGTAGATTGCAGGTGGCAGTGGATCACTTACTTCTAACAGTGACCCCCATCTGTCCCTTTGTCCTATTTACGAGAATTCCCCCGTCTTGCAGCCGCCTAGTCCGCACGCCTCCACCCCTGGCCAGGGTTTTGACCCAAAACCCCCCAAATACACAGGGGGTTTCCCTACCAGAAAATAGCGTATGATTCAACATGCACAGGTACATTATATGTGGAATGTTACGAAAATAACATAAATACGGTACTGGTGCTCAAAATACATATGAATTTTGAGTCATCTGTGTCAAACGTACTAATACTTATGCCTTTTTGGCAGTGTTTTTGACGGTACCGTTGCTTGCTTTGTAACATGCCACGCAACATTTTCAAACAAAAATGTTACTCTTTGCCATAAATATTCATGTCGTACCATAAGTAATTTTCAGGCAGGATATTCATCTCTCACACAAAAAAGTTACTTTTCGCCTTAAATATTCCAGTAAGTTTCTGACAGTATATTCATCACAAGATACTGCAGTATTATTCATCCACAAAACAAAAATACACTTTCTCGATCCGTCTTCTTTGAGAGATGCAGGGTGAAACAAATGCAAAGAACAAGCAAATATAGACAGTGATGTCGTCATAGAGGAAGCAGCAGGCAATAACGACCATTCAGACGCTGGAAGGAGGCGCTTTGCACCACCAGAAGACTAGGCTACTTGGCATTGGTATGCCATCAGATAATCCACAGTGCCGCCCATACATTGCTGCCTGATATACAACAACCAGCCAAAAAAAGAGGGACGACCAGTTGACGATTGATGAGGCCATTATTATAGACGGTGATGGGGGCGCTGGTGCTGGTGGAGGCGTGGTGGCAGGGAACTCAACTTAGGAGACTTGTTCCAAAGCACCCAGATAAGTATCCAGCAACTGCAACAACAATTTGATAACGTTGCTGCTTGATCTCATACAAATCTTTCAGATTTGAGAGCCTATATCCGGCATCGTGATCAAATTCTAAACAACAACATTCGTGCTTTTGGCGGAACAATTGAAGGTGTTGGGGGCTTGGGAATCCAACTCCAACAAGCAAATACTGGCCGCAGACTACTACACCACCACTTCCAGCAAGAGGAGCAAATGAAGATGCTAGTCTCATCGTAGTTACGAACATGGCCATTCTATCTGGCAATCCCAGGTCGTTAAACGAACTCTGGTGGGAGTATTAGCATGGGATGGCAGAAAGGTTTCTGGCCGACTCAATACTCAAATACACTGCTGTGGGATTGAAATCTGAAAAATTCAAGAACTTCGTCACCTCCAATCCAACCATATTACTTACATCTATTTAATTACGATGTGGGATTGGTTCAAAATTTCAGCTGTGAAAACAAGATGCATCCGTTTGGCTCTGCTAAGCAGCGTCAAAATCATCTATTAGCACAAAGATCAAGACCGTTGAATTCGTGATGGAACCCGTCAAAGTCAATAAATCTTCCACAAGAAACGAGGCCATTTGCATGTCAACAAGGGTGTTTTGCCCGGTTGCAAGTTGGTCAAGATTCATCAGAAGTCCAAAGCGACAAATTCCTTGCAACCGCCTTTGCTTTTTGAAACCCCCAGGACCAGCAAGGAAAATAATGCAAGCAGTTCCAAACAATGGCACAAGTCCTCCTCTGTTGCCCCTTCAACCATGTTGCCGTCTAGTAGTTCTGCCAGTGGCTGAGAGCAGCGTGATACTATTGGATGGTGGGTTGTAATAATTGTGTTGGAAGATAAATCTTCAATGGAGAATTGGCATCTCTCACATAGCAATACACCTGAGCGTCTTGTGCAAAGGTATCTTGGACATACTGTTGAGGTTTGGGTTGCATTAGCTCAGTAAGCTCAGCGTCCTGAGTTTGAATATCAGCGATAGACTTGAAATCAAGAACAAAAGGTAAACTATCCTAAACAGGCAGGAGAACAAAGCAATTGAGTAATTGCAAATCAGTGGCCATAGAGTAAAATGAATTTAGAGTATCATGGGATGATATGTTAGCATTGGATGCTGTGGTTCTGTTATCATTTGATGATAGGTCAACATTGGATGTTGTTTCAATGAGAGGAGCATACTCTTGGTAGGCTCCAATCGGTCGACAATATTAGTCAATAGGATCCTTAGGGTTGTCATTCTGCCACCGAGGCGGTGTCATAGTTAGGCGAGAAAGGGCATCGGCAAGAGTGTTGTGTTATCCTTTAATGTAATGGAAAATTGGATGGAAGTCTTTGAGGAATAGTTGCCAGCATAAGACGCGTTGGCTTTGTAGATTCTGGAAGGTCAGGTTTTTGTGGTCAGTGTAGACATGTAGTTCCTTGACACCATACAGCATGGTGCGATACTCTTTGAGAGTTTCCACAATGGAGAGAATTTCTTTTTCTCCAACAGTGTAGTTCAACTGTGCTTTAGAAAGCTTAAAAGAATAATAGGCAAAAGGTTTGCCGTTCTGAAAAATAGCGGCCCCCAGTTGTTAGTCGCTAGCGTCACAGTAGACGTGAAAAGGTTGATTATGATCTGGATAGGCCAGAAATGCATCCTTTGAGAGTATAGCTTTGATGTGGTCAAAGGCCTTTTGACATTTGGGTGTCCAATCTAATTTCTTCTTGTTGTGTCCAATATGTGCAGTCAAAGGCGCAAGAATGTGTGAACGTTTTGGAAACATGTCACGGTAAAAGGTTACTGTGCCAATAAAGGAACGGAGTTCCGAGACAGACTTGGGAGGTTCAAGTCTGAGGATTGCCTTGATCTTCTTTTTCCACGGTTTGATTCCAGTAGGTGTGAGCCAATAACCAAGCCAATCAGTTTCTTGCACACAAAATTCACATTTCAGCGGATTGCAGGCAAAGCCATGATCTTGCAAGATTCGCAAGATTTTTCTGAGGCTGTCCATGTGCGAGTTCCAATTGTTGGAAAAGATTTCAACATTGTCGATGTAGACGTCTGCTTCTTCGAAGTCAGCAAGGAGCTATTCAATGTGTGCTTGAGCAATGTCAGGAGATTGTTTGATGCCCATAGGAAGACGCGTGTAACGATAGTTGCCAAAGGGTGTGACAATGCCACAAAGGTCCTTGTACGCTTTGTCCATTTCAAAGGTGTAGAAAAACAGTGAAAGGTCAAGCTTTGAGAAATAGTTGTAGCCATTTCTTTTCTTTAGAATATCTTGTATTCTTGGCAGTAGCCAAACCTTGCGTTTAATCATCTCATTTAGTTGCCAAAAGTCGGAAACAAATCTAACTCTACCATCCTTTTTTGGAACAATAAAGGTGGGAGATAAGTAGTCCATTGGACCGCATTTTTCCAAAATTCCCCATTGGACCATTTCATCAATAGTTTTCTTGAAGACAGCTTCATGACTCTTGGGGACCAAATATGGACGGTTCTGAAATGGTTTTGTTGGGAATTCACGTGCGCGTGTAAGAACTAATAACAAATCATTACTTGCCGGTGTCTTACACCCTTCATCTTCCTTGAACTTCACAGGAAATTCATTCAACATTCGATTAACACAGTCATCCATTCGGACTTTGACTTTCCCCCTTTTACTGAAATCCAGGGTCATTCCCAAATATTCGTGAATTTTTCCTCTCTTAGATTTGACTGGTTTGATTGAACCATACTTTTGATTCATCCATTCACAAAAATCATCATTCACTTTTGGATCAATGTGGCTTGATA